AGAGCCACCCAACGAGACAACCCCAGAACATCCTGTGTCCAGCGGGACGATCCCAGAGCCTCCTCTCCCAACAGAGCTTCCCAACAGGACAACCCCAGAACTTCTATTCAACAGAACATCCCCAGATCATCTTCTACCCAACAAGACAACCCTAAAACCTCTTGTACCAAACGGGATAACCTCAGACCCACTCGTACACAGCGGGACCACACACAGTCCTTTTCCTTTCAACGAGACAACCCTGGAACCTCCTCATCTCAGTGCTGCACCCAAAAGGAGAATCTGAGACCATCATCTCCCCACCGCTCCACTCAATGGAACAATCCCAGGAATTCGTCTCCACATCGTACTAACAAAGACATCCCCTGGGCCTCCTTTCCCCTCCGGCCAACTCAGAGTGATGGTCCCCGAACCTCTTCCCCATCTCGCTCCAAGCAAAATGAGGTTCCCTGGGCATCCATCGCCCTCCGGCCAACCCAAGGTGACAGGCCTCAGACATCCTCTCCCAGCAGGCCAGCCCAGCATGACCCACCCCGGTCCTCCTTTGGCCCCACCCAGTACAACTTGCCATCCCGGGTCACCTCTTCCTCCCCTAACCCAGGCCACCAGAGCACCTCCCGGACTTCCTCACCTGTGTACCCTGCTGCCTGTGGGGTTCCCTTGACCTATCCTGAGCCCTCCCAGCCTCCATGTGCTGTGTGCATTGGGCACCGGGATGCCCCTCGGGCCTCTTCGCCCCCTCGCTATTTGCAGCATGACCCCTTCCCCTTCTTCCCAGAGCCCCACGCCCCAGAGAGTGAATTGCCCCACCACGAGCCTCCCTATATACCACCTGCTGTGTGCATTGGACACCGAGATGCCCCCCAGGCGTCCTCGCCCCCCCGCCACACCCAATTTGACCCCTTCCCCTTCCTCCCAGACACATCAGATGCCGAACATCAGTGTCAGTCCCCCCAACACGAGCCCCTTCAGCTCCCCGCACCTGTATGTATTGGGTACCGAGACGCACCCCGGGCCTCCTCCCCACCACGCCAGGCCCCAGAGCCTTCCCTCTTGTTCCAGGACCTCCCCAGGGCCAGCACAGAGAGCCTTGTGCCTTCCATGGACTCTCTGCACGAGGGCCCCCAAATCCCCACCCCTGTGTGCATTGGGCACCGGGATGCACCCTCCTTCTCATCCCCACCACGCCAGGCTCCTGAGCCATCCCTCTTCTTCCAGGACGCCCCTGGAACTAGTATGGAGAGCCTGGCCCCCTCCACTGACTCTCTGCATGGCTCCCTAGTGCTGATCCCCCAAGTGTGCATCGGGCACCGGGATGCACCCCGAGCCTCCTCCCCACCCCGCCACCCACCCAGTGATCTAGCGTTCCTGGCACCCTCACCTTCGCCGGGCAGCTCCAGGGGTTCCCGGGGCTCAGCACCTCCCGGGGAGACCAGGCACAACTTGGAGCGGGAGGAGTACACTGTGCTGGCTGACCTGCCCCCACCCAGGAGGCTGGCCCAGAGACAGCCAGGGACCCAAGCGCAGCACAGCAGCGGGGGCCGCACCCGCAGCCCTGGCCGCGCGGAGGTGGAGCGCCTCTTCGGGCAAGAGCGCAGGTGAGCCCAGGGGTGGGGTCAGCCAACTGGGCTGGGGAGGAGGCTCAGCAGCAGGACAGGTGGAAGTTTCTCAGGGTTAGGGTGCCAGGAGAGTGTTCAAATCCCCCTGGCTTGCCATTTACTGGCTGTGTGACCTTGGGCAAATCACTCCATTTCTCTCTTTCTGCATATTAGGAGTTTTCTGCTTGTGTGTGTGTGTGTGGTTAAGTGATGTCATGCATGGCCCAGTGGTTAACAGCAAAGACTGCAGTCATGAGGGCTGAGTCCAAATCCTGGGTCAAAGTCACATTTCAACTCATGTGACCTGATATAGTGAGTTAACCTACCTGAGCCTCAATTTCCTCATCTGTATTGGAGGGGAACATGAGCCCATTCATTCAAATGAGGGTGAACTCTTTTTCTTTTTTCCTTTTTTTTTTTTTTTGAGGCGGAGTTTTGCTCTTGTTGCCCAGGCTGGAGTGCAATGGTGCAATCTTGGCTCACTGCAACCTCCACCTCCCGGGTTCAAGCGAATCTCCTGCCTCAGCCTCCCGAGTAGCTGGGATTACAGGGGCCCGCTACCACACCTGGCTAATTTTTAAAATATTTTTAGTAGAGATGGGGTTTCGCCATATTGGCCAGGCTGGTCTCAAACTCCTGACCTCAAATGATCAGCCTGCCTCGGCCTCACAAAGTGCTGGGATTACAGGAGTGAGCCACCGCACCCGGCCAAAATGAGAGTGAACTCTCAAACCCTTTGATTCAGACTCACGGGTTTTTTTTTCTTCCGTGCATGAGGGAGAAGAAGAAAGTGCCCATTCTTTTTTTCCTGCCTTGGCAAAGAAAATTCATGGGTCCCTATGCATTTCAGAAAACTGTTATGTCAATTTAAAAATGTATGGCCAGGGCCAGGCATGGTGGCTCACGCCTGTAATCCCAGCACTTTGGGAGGCCAAGGCGGGCGGATCATGAGGTCAGGAGATTGAGACCATCCTGGCTAACACGGTGAAACCTTGTCTCTACTAAAAATACAAAAAACACGCTGCAGTCCCAGTGACTCAGGCGGCTGAGGCAGGAGAATGGCTTGAACCCGGGAGGTGGAGCTTGCAGGGAGCCAAGATCACACCACTGCACTCCAGTCTGGGCGACAGAGCGAGACTCCGTCTAAAAAAAAAAAAAAGTATGGCCAGAGTCACCCTATTTTAAGAAAGAAAGCTCACAGAATTACAGATTTTTAGCAGTCAAACATCCTGGAACAACTAAAGTCCAGGTGACTTTTGAGTCTCCTTGGTCAGCAGCCCTGGTCCCCGCGGAAGGGGAGCATTTCCTCCTGATCCGGCTGAGATTTCTCACCCCAGAAGTTCCAGCCCTCGAGTTTTCAAGGATCAGAGCTAGAATTCCATTAGTTAGGGTCAAGAGAACAACAGCAACAAAAAGCAGTCTGGAAGTCTCAGAACTTTCCGTGTATCTAATTCAGTGAATTTTTAGTATATTTACCAAGTTGTCCAACCACTGCCACAATCTAACTTTTAGAACATTTTCATCACCCTAAAGGGTATGGAATCTTTTGTATCTAAAATTCCTCTTTGCTCCTCCTTGGGCAAGTTTTCTCCTGGATTTGAATCTGCACGAGAAACCTGATCAATCTTGGCTGGGTGCGGTGGCTCCCTCCTGTAATCCCAGCACCGGAGCTTGCAGTGAGCCGAGATCATGCCACTGCACTCCAGCCTGGGCAACACAGTGAGACTCCGTCTCAAAAAAAAAAAAAAAAAAACTGAATGTAGTGGCACACGCCTGTAGTCCCAGCTACTCAGGAAGCTGAGACAGCAGTATCGCCTGAATTTGGGAGGTGGAGTTTGCAGTGAGCTGAGATTGTGCCATTGCACTCCAGCCTGGCAACAAGAGTGAAACTCCATCTCAAAAAAAAAAAAAAAAAAGAAACCTTATCTCTTGTTCTTCAAATTTCCTTTTCCAGTAAGCTTGATCATGTAATATCCAGATGACAACCATGTGGTCTCCAGTATTAGTATAATTCTTTCTTTGGCCTTAAAAACAAAAACAAAAACCCAGAGCAGTTTTAGGTTCACAGCAAAATTGAACAGAAAGGGGAGAGTTCCATGCACAGCTTCTCCCACTACCAGTATCCTGTACTAGACATGTATGCTTGTTTCCAGCTCCTGGCCTCAAGGGATCCTCCTTTCTTGGCCTCTCAAAGGGCTGGTGAGCCACTGTACTGGGCAGTAGGGGATGCATTTGTTACAATCCATGAACCTACACTGACAAATCACCCAAAGTTCACTGTTCACTCAAGTCTGTACAGCCTACAGACTTGAATGAATGTATAATGACAAGTATCCACCATTGTAACGTCATGGAGTAGTTTCACCCTAAAAGTCTTCACTGTCTTTGACTTTTTTTTTTTCTTTGGAGATGGATTCTTACTCTGTCACCCAGGCTGGAGTGCAGTGGCACAATCTTGGCTCATTGCAACCTCTGCCTCCCAGGTTCAAGCAATTCTCCTGCCTCAGCCTCCCGAGTAGCTGGGACTACAGGCACCCGCCACCATGCCCGGCTAATTTATTTGTATTTTTAGTAGCGACAGGGTTTCACCCTGTTGCCCAGGCTGGTCTTGAACTCCTGAGCTCAGGCAATCCGCCCACCTCGGCCTCCCAAAGTGCTGGGATTACAGGTGTGAGCCACCGCTCATGGCCTGACCTTTTGTTTTTGAGACGGGGTCTTGCTCTGTCACCCCGCAGGAGTGCAGTGGCATGATCATGGCTCACTGCGGCCTCAGACTGCCAGGCTCAAGGGATTCTCTCACCTCAGCCTCCCCAGTAGCTGGGACTACAGGCGTGCGCCACTGTGCCCAGCTACTTTTTCTATTTTTTGTAGAGATGGAGTCTCACTTTATTGGCCAGGTTGGTCTCAAACTCCTGGCCTTGAGCAATGCTCCCACTTTAGCCTCCCAAAGTGGCTTTGACCTTTTTATGATTACTATTTCTGGTCTAATGTCAATTTTCCTAACTTGTTTTAACTAATAACTCAGTAGGGACATTAAGGTCTTTAAGCCAAAGTTAATTAATTTTCTTTCCTTTTTTCCAGGATAATTTTAGAGATATAAGGTGTTTATATTACTAATATAAATGAGAAATATGTTTACACTTTTATTAACCATTTGTTTTTACATGATCACTCCTGTACATTTAATTCTACTCTCTTTGAAATAGATTATTTACCTTTTAGGGAAGTTTTTATAATTTTACTGAGTAATTAAATTTTTTCCTCTTATCTGGCACCTTTTCCAAGTAGAAAACCATTCATCCTCTGAAGATGGAAATTTTTAAAACTATGTAGTGTGTGTGTAAGGCACAGACTGGAGTTTATGGGTGGGTGGCTGTAGGATTGAGCTTTTATTTTCTCTCATTTCCTCATCGATATGTATTTATTGAGCATCTACTCTGTCCAAGCATTGTCCCAAGTCTGGAAATTTTTTCTTAAAAGATTATCACATCAAAGCATTGGGAGTTTTGGCTTGATCTTATTTTTTTTTTCCTTAGATGCCTTTGGAATCTCTTAAAGTCATGTAAGCATTCTGTGGTCATTTGAATTTAAAACACAGACTTCATTGGATTTGCTAGACTTGATGGCTTTGCGCCTTTAATTCTCTCTGGAGGTCGAAGAGCCCATCTAAGCTTCCAAAGGAAACATGTTTCCTTTGTCATGCTTGGTGTGGTCACATCAACTCTGGGCAACAGGTGGCCCCGGGGAGACGCTGTTGCTTCAGCATCAGACAAACCGGGTCTCTGTTGGGGTCTCAGAATCTTCTTGAGTCCCTCGCTCTTTTCTCTCAATTCCACATGGGGGAAAAAAGGAAGGCGTGTTCTCAGGAGGAATGCTCATCAAGCAAGCTGGAGTTCGTATGGAAAATGCATCCATCCGGAAGAGAACACACAAGTGCCTTGCTTCCCTTCACCGGGTGTTTCCACTATTGTCCTTCCCTTCCTCCCCATTAGGGAGGAACGGCCCACGGGGTCATGTTTGGGCTCTTGCTTCATCGAGGCTCCTATACCCCAGTTCAGGGGAAAATTCAGTCTAAGGCCTTCAGCTCTCACAGAGTAAGGAAACGCACTCACCTCAAATTAGATTACAAATTGGCTGGGTGCAGTGGCTCACACCTGTAATGCCAACACTTTGGGAGGTCGAGGCAAGCGGATCACCTGAGGTCAGGAGTTTGAAATGAGACCAGCCTGGCTAACATGGTGAAACCCTGTCTCTACTAAAAATACAAAAATCAGCTGGGCATGGTGGTAGACACCTGTAATTCCAGCTGCTCGGGAGGCTGAGGCAGGAGAATCGCTTGAAACCGGAAGGCAGAGGTTGCAGTGAGCTGAGATTGCACCACGGCACTCCAGCCTGGGCCACAGAGCGAGACTCCATCTCAAAAAAAAAAAAAAAAAAGATTACAAACAGCCTGCTCAGGGAGCCCTCAAGCTCAGAAACACTTCTTCCAGGGAACTTTGGCTCCTGTCTGAACCAACTGCCAATAACTGCTAACAACTCAAATTACTGTGCTTTATGGCTCTGATTCTAATGACATTGGCAAAAGACATGAAACAACAAAAAACTTCAACCCCATACTTTTTTCTTTTTGAGACAGGATCTTGCTCTTTCGCCCAGTCTGGAATGCAGTGGCGTGATCATGGCTCACTGCAGCCTCAACCTCCCAGGCTGAAGCGATCCTCCCACTTCAGCCTCCCAAGTAGCTGGGACTATAGCCACGTATCACCATGCCTGGCTCATTAAAAAATTTTTTTTCCTAGAACAAGGTCTCATTCTGTTGCCAGGGCTTTCTTAAACTCCTTGGCTCAAGTGATCCTCTGACCTCAGCCTCCCCAAGTGCTGGAATTACAGCTATAAAGACATTGTACCTGGCCTCCCAACCCCATACTTTTTTTTTTTTTTTGAGACAGGGTCTCACTATGCGGCTCAGGCTGGAGTGCAGTGGTGCGATCTCGGCTTACTGCTCCTGGGGTCAAGCAATCCTCCTGCCTCAGCCTCCTGAGTAGCTGGGATTACAGGCACGTGCCACCACGCCCGGCTAAGTTTTGTATTTTTAGTAGAGACTGGGTTTCACTATATTGACCAGGCTGGTCTCGAACTCCTGACCTCAAGTGATCCACCCACCTCAGTCTCCCAAAGTGCTGGGATTAGAGGCATGAGCCACTGTGCCTGGGCTAATTTTTGTATTTTCAGAGACTGGGTTTCACTGTGTTGTCCAGCCTGGTCTTGAACTCCTGAGTTCAAGCCATCTGCCTGCCTCAGCCTCCCAAAGTTCTGGGATTACAGGCATGACCCACTGCGCTCTGTCCAATCCCATACTTTTGAAGGTGGTGTTCCAGCATGGTTCCTCAGGCACAGGCCCACCGCAGACAGCAGGTCCTACGGAGGCCTGAGCAGAGGTTCCTCTTACTTCCCTTTTTGCTGCCTTACTCTGGGCCCACCACAGGGTGGCCTTTTTCAGGCTTCTCTTCCTGGTTCGGTTCATCCACCAAAGACACAGCTCCATTTGCTAACTGAGACCCAACCAAAATAAACAGTCACTGAGCACTTGGGTCTTTTGTTGTGACCCCTTAGGTAGAGGAAGAGAGAGATAAGCCTAGGTTGTTTGGTGTTTCTACCTGTCGATAGAGATACCACGTTAAACATTAACAGCCATGCCTCCCAGTTAGTAAGCAAGACAACTAATTGGAACTAGACTTTTTACTAACAAGTTAGAGATGATCTTCATTGGATGCGGCAACAATGCCTGAAGTCCAGTGTCTTAGAAATGACATTTGCCCAGGGCCAGGCATGGTGGCTCATGCCTGTAATCCCAGCTACTTGGGAGGTTAAGACAGAGAATCCCTTGAGACCGGGAGACGGACGTTGCAGTGAGCTGAGACTGCGCCACTGCACTCTAGCAGCTTGGATGACAGAGGGAGACTCCATCTCAAAAAAAAAAAAAAAAAAAAAATGACATTTGCTTGGACAGTTCATGTTGGCCTCTCTGGAGTAGTCGGGAAGGATGTTTCTTTCTTCTGATCTTGCTCAGAGCTCTTGCCAACAGCTAGGATGGCCTGGCGTTTTCAAGGCTAAGTGCTGGGATTCTGTTGGTTAACGGTGATGGGAGGGAAAAAGGAAAAGAAATCCAACTTTTTTTTTTTTTTTTTTGAGATGGAGTCTTGCTCTGTCACCCAGGCTGGAGTGCAGTGGCACGATCTTGGCTCACTGCAAGCTCTGCCTCCCGAGTTCACACCATTCTCCTGCTGAATTCAGCCTCCCGAGTAGCTGGGACTACAAGTGCCCGCCACCATGCCTGGCTAATGTTTTTGTATTTTTAGTAGAGATGGGGTTTCACTGTGTTAGCCAGGATGGTCTCGATCTCCTGACCTTGTGATCCGCCTGCCTCGGCCTTCAAAGTGCTGGGATTACAGGCTTGAGCCACCGCGCCCAGCCTCAAGAAATCCAAAATTTGCAATATGGACAGGAAAAGGGCAGAAAGAATGGAACATGGGGGCACACAGCAGTCTGGCTCTGTCGTCCCACCTCGTGGGCTGTGTGAGATGGAACAAGATCATGATACAAGCGCTTGGCCCCTGGAACGTAAGAAGCGCTCAATAAATGCTTTGCCATTATGATTATGTGTGCCGGGTGCCTGGTACACAGTAGGTGCTCAATAAATCTTAATTCCTGCAAAGACCAGTCTAACCTGTGTCTGGGGGTGGCTGGTGGGCTGCTGGTGGGGTGGTGGTTAGTCATAGGTAGTACTGGATGAGATAGAAGATAGCCATGGTCAGGGCCAGATCCCCCTCCCCACCCAAACACCTCTACTCCCCATTTTTCTTGTCATTTTCTCAAGAGCCTCATGAGGCAGAATAGAGCAGTGTTAACCATCCCCATTTTTCAGAAGGGGAAACTGAGGCCCTGAGAGTCACCCTTACTTAGGGCCCTTCAACCAGCTTGCAGTGGGTCCCTGGCTCTCCCACATCTCCTTCTGTTGGAGGTGGGAGCAGAGGGGCTGGGGTGCTGGGAGTGGGACAGTCCCTCAGAGGAGTGGCTGCATTTGCTCATAGGAAGTCCGAGGCAGCGGGGGCCTTCCAGGTCCAGGACGAGGGACGGTCACAGCGGCCCAGCCAAGGCCAGAGCCAACTTCTCCGAAGACAGTCCAGCCCTGCCCCCAGCAGGCAGGTGAGCACTGCCAGCTGTCTGGGGCCCCACACCCCAAGGGGCGGCCACTGCCTCTTCCCTCCTGCTAGAAGCCAGGCAGGGAGCTTGGACAGGAAGGTCCTCTATGAAAGGGTCGGAGTCCAATCATGGGTCTCCAGCTCTCCCCTCTCCCCAAGGGCCAGAAGCTCTTGGCAAATTGCACAAGACCTCACATTAGTCCTGGGAAGACAGCCCCTGTCCCATGCTATCCCCTTCCTTTACTAAGTACTGCTTTTTTTTTTTTTTTTTTTGAGATGGAGTCTTGCTCTGTCTCCCAGGCTGGAGTGCAGTGGGACAATATTGGATCACTGCAACCTCCACCTCCCGAGTTCAAGAGATTCTCCTACCTCAGCCTCCCGAGTAGCTGGGATTACAGGGGCGTGCCACCACACCCAGCTAATTTTTGTACTTTTAGTAGAGACAGGGTTTCACCATGTTGGCCAGGCTGGTCACTCCTGACCTCAGGTGATCCGCCCACCTCGGCCTCCCAAGGTGCTGGGATTACAGGCGTGAGCCACCGCACCTGGCCAGTACTGCTGCCAATACTGCTGTCTTGAGCAGATTTCAGGGAAAGCTTTGATGCATGAATCTGGCTCTAAGGGCCCTCCCTCTCTTTCAGGGTGATTTGTATCTTTAACAAAACCCAGAGGGCCAGGCCCACTGCAGTGGAATGGGGTATTGGTGGTGGAGGTTCTGGCACCTGATAGCCCAAGTTGGAATCAGTATCTTTGAGAGGGGTGAGAAGCCAAGAATGGGAGCAGGTCTTTGCAGATCTTTTTCTGGAACCGAGGAAAGCGGGTGAAAGGGAAGAGCTGACCCCCGACGGGGGAGGAGGGCAGGGACCCTGTGTGCTTTTTGGCCTGCTTTCATCCAGGCTGCTGTGTGAGCACAGCCTTGCCTTTCTGGGGGCCTGACTAAGAAAGGCAGAGCTGGCAGCCAGGTCCCCAGAGAGAGAGCCTCACCCACCTCCCTACCTCATCCCCAGGTGACCAAGCGCCCTGCCAAACAGGCAGAACTGACCTGGCGGAGCCAAGCAGAGCCCCCTCATTCTCGGAGTCCTGAGAAGAGACCTGAGGGAGATCGGCGGCTCCAGGGGTCCCCGCTGCCTCCCAGGACATCAGCCAGGACCCCTGAGAGGGAGCTGCAGACACAGAGACCTCTGGAGAGTGGCCAAGCAGGCCCAAGACAGCCTCTGGGGGCGTGGCAGAGTCAGGAGGAACCGCCAGGGTCCCAGGGCCCTCACAGACACCTGGAGAGGAGCTGGAGCAGCCAGGAGGGAGGCCTGGGGGCAGCCAAAGCCTTGGAGGGAGCATGGGGGGGCCCTCCTGGGGAGTACAGGGAGAGCTGGGGACAGCCAGAGGCCTGGGAAGAGGCGGCCACCCATGAGCCCCCCAGAGAACTAGGGAAGAGAAGCCCGCTCACAAGCCCCCCTGAGAACTGGGGAGGCCCCACAGAGTCCTCACAATCCAGGCGCCCTGGGACACCCACTACTGTGGGCTGGGGGGCAGAGGGAGCATGTCCATACTCGCATGGCCCTGAGAGGCGACCCGAGCTTGACTGGAGGGACCTGCTTGGTCTTCTCCGGGCACCAGGAGAGGGGGCCTGGGCCCGTCTCCCCAGACTGGACTGGGAGGGCCTCTTGGAGCTCCTGCAGGCCAGGCTGCCCCGCAAGGACCCAGCTGGACACAGGGATGACCTGGTCAGGGCTTCAGGGCCAGAGATGGGTCCCCCAGGCACAAAGGATGTCCCCGAGCAGGAGTCACACAGTCAGCCAGAAGGCTGGGCCGAGGCCACCCCAGTCAACGGACTCAGCCCCGCACCGCGGCCCCAGAGCCCGGCCCAGCCGCCCAGCCCTGCCTGCACCTCCACCCAGTGGCCAAAGACCAAAGTGACAAGAGGACCAGCGACCGTAACTCTGGCAGGCCTAGAGCAGACGGGCCCCCTGGGGAGCAGGAGCACTGCAGAGGGCCCCAGTTTGCCAGAGCTGCAGGTAAGGAGGTTCCCCCCTCCCAAGGGTAGCCAGAAAGTCAGCCCCCCACAGCCAAGTCTCCTTGGAAAAGCCTCCCCTTTGAGTAGCCTCAGCTCCTGCATCCCCCTCCAGGCTCAGACCTCAGCCTCCCTGCTGACCACAACCCATCCCGACCACCAAACTGGCCCAACACTGATGATGAGCAACACCGTTTTAAGTGTTTATGGGCCAAGCCCTGATCTGAATGTTTGACGTGTACTTTTACCATTTAGTCTCCTTAGCAACCAAGTGAGAAATACACTATTTATTTACAGATAAGGAAACTGACGCGCAGGGTGAAGCCACTTGCTGGTGGGGCATGGGTGAAACCCAGATCCGCTCAGTGCAGACCACACTGAGGCCTCAAGCAAGATGCTCTGGCCAGGGCCTGCTCCCCTCCTGGCTCCACCATACCTGGTTTATGTTGTGTCTGGTGGTACACACCTGACCCCACCTGGGACTATAGCCAGTGTGGTCATGCCCCTTCCCCTGGTGATACCCAGGTTCCTGAGTCCAGGACAGCCTCGCTTACCCTCTCTGGCCCCTACAGCTCCTCTCAGACACAGAGAAGGGGGTGCATCAATGCTCACTGGGTTCAGCTAGCTGCCAAAACAGGCTGCTTAAATGAGGCTCGTGTGCAAAGTGGGCCCAGCACCGGGCACACAGTAGGTGCTCACCCTTCCCCTGCTTCAGTGGTACTTTGGTGCTGCCTTGAAGCCCAGAACATTCTTCATCTGAAGATGGTGGGCAAGGAGGGTCCTGGAGGCCAGAGTCCTGTACCCTGGCGATAGCTCATTCGGAGGACGGCACGTGGTTTTGAACACTAGCCTCTCTCCCTCTGTAAGATGGACCAATCACTTCTCTGACGGGCCGCACTGGGGTGCCGTGGGGGTTCCTACTTGTTTCTCTAAAGCCTCCTCATCTCGCTGCAAAGTCCGCTGCCACCTCCCCCAGGATGAGCAGGGCTTCCAGGCATCACGGTGCACCCCGTGCTGGGCCCCAGGACCTTGCCATATGTGCCTCAGGTGGATAGGAAGCAGTTGCCACTTGACAGATGAGGAAACTGAGGCTCAGACTCCTTAGGCATTTGCTGGGGGTCACACATGCATAGGTTGTGAGAAATGAGATCAAAGCATCCACTCCAAAGTTTGTGCTTGTATTTGTTTTTGTTTTTTTTTTTGAGACGGAGTCTTGCTCTGTCGCCCAGGCTGGAGTGCAGTGGCCGGATCTCAGCTCACTGCAAGCTCCGCCTCCTGGGTTTACGCCATTCTCCTGCCTCAGCCTCCCGAGTAGCTGGGACTACAGGCGCCCGCCACCTCGCCTCGCTAGGTTTTTTTGCACTTTTTAGTAGAGACGGGGTTTCACTGGGTTAGCCAGGATGGTCTCGATCTCCTGACCTCGTGATCCGCCTGTCTCGGCCTCCCAAAGTGCTGGGATTACAGGCTTGAGCCCTATTATTTTTTTTTGAGACGGAGTTTCACTCTTGTTGCCCAGGCTGGAGTGCAATCGCGCAATCTCGGCTCACTGCAACCTCCGCCCCCTGGGTTCAAGCTATTCTCCTGCCTCAGCCTCCTGAATAGTTGGGATTACAGGCATGTGCCACCATGCCCGGCTAATTTTGTGTTTTTAGTAGAGATGGGGTTTCTCCATGTTGGTCAGGCTGGTTTTGAACTCCCGACTTCAGGTGATCTGCCCACCTTGGCCTCCCAAAGTGCTGGGATTACAGGTGTGAGCCACCACACCCGGCCTAAGTTTGTACTTTTAGCCACCAGGTCACAAAGCTCCTGAGCCCATGGGAGGACTGGAGAATCCTCTCCCCTGTATTTCCGTGGCTTTGATGAGTTGACCCTCTGATCAACTCAATGCACGAACATCAGAGAAGTAGGGATAAGTCAGCTCGTCCTGCCCTCAGGTCGCCGTCAGGCTTGTTGGGAAGGCACACAGGCCACAGGCAGCTCAAGGAGGACACGGTGCTGTGTCCCGGGGCATGCTGGTGCTGTAGGCCGGTCAGGTCAAGAAGGAAGTGGGGACCCAGTTAGAAAGATTCTTCAGTTTCATGGGGAAGCTCAGGGTTCTCAGGAGGCTGGGAGATGGTGGCTGGGAAGGGATGGGAGCGCTATGTGCTGAAAGGCATTTCACAGATGACAAAACGAGGAACCACCAGGTCCTGCCGGGGCTCCAGCTGCTCCTCTCTATGAAAATCCTTGGCTTGGCACGGCCGGGCGCGGTGGCTCACGCCTGTAATCCCAGCACTTTGGGAGGCCAAGATGGGCGGATCATGAGGTCAGGAGATCGACACCAGCCTGGCTAACACGGTGAAACCCCATCTCCACTAAAAATACAAAAAATTAGCCAGGTATGGTGGCAGGCGCCTATAATCCCAGCTACTAGGGAAGCTGAGATAGGAGAATGGTGTGAACCCGGGAGGTGGGGGTTGCAGTGAGCCGAGATCTCTCGCCACTGCACTCCAGCCTGGGTGACAGAGCCAGACTTGAAAGAAAGAAAGAAAGAAAAAGAAAGAAAGAAAAGAAAGAAAAGAAAGAAAGAAAGGAAAGAAAGGAAAGAAAGGAAAGAAAGGAAAGAAAGGAAAGAAAGGAAAGAAAGGAAAGAAAGGAAAGAAAGGAAAGAAAGGAAAGAAAGGAAGAAAGAAAGAAAGAAAGAAAGAAAGAAAGAAAGAAAATCCTTGGCATGGCACTCAAGGCTGGTTTCCCTTCCTTCCACTCCGGATTTGACTCATTGGTGCTGAGCTGGCTGCAGGGCCTGTGAAGACATATCCCTGCCTTTGCACGTGCTCTCCCCTTCCCTCTTCAGCCACCAAACGCCTGTTCATTGTTCAAGTCTTAGGTCAGACGCCCTGTCCTGAGACGCCTTCCCTGAACAGTCACTCCTAGCGATGGTTCCCTTCTGGGCTTGGCAGTTTTGCTTCCATATGTCCATGCAACATCCATCTAATGGGGTTGTAATTTCCCCAAAAGCTCCACAGAAGCAGGATCTCTGCCTGCTTTATCTCTGTAACTCTGGCTGTGGCCCAGGGCCTGACATAAAGGAGGGGGCAGCTCAGTGGATGCATGCAAGATGGAGGACAGAGGGGTTAGTGGGTGGATAACGGATGAATGGAGGGTGAATGTGGGAATGGGTGATGGATCAATGATGCATGTTGAATGAATGATAAATAGACGCCTGTTGGATGTGTGTGTTTCCATCCACAGAGTCTTTTCAGAGTATTTCACATTAGATTAGAGATTTCACATATAAATACATATCTCCAGCCAGGCGCGGTGGCTCAAGCCTGTAATCCCAGCACTTTGGGAGGCTGAGACGGGCAGGTCATGAGGTCAGGAGATGGAGACCATCCTGGCTAACACGGTGAAACCTCGTCTCTACTAAAAAAGAAATACAAAAAAACTAGCCAGGCGAGGTGGCGGGCACATCTAGTCCCAGCTACTCGGGAGGCTGAGACAGGAGAATGGCGTAAACCCAGGAGGCAGAGCTTGCAGTGAGCTGAGATCTGGCCACTGCACTCCAGCCTGGGCAACAGAGCGAGACTCCATCTCAAAAAAAAAAAAAAAAAAAACCCAAAAACCAAAAAACATATCTCCAGTGTTTCTTGAAATATCAAAAGATGTGGAAACTCTGGGCCCGTCTTCCCATGGCAACAGCTGTCTGGATGGGTGATGATGGATAGATAGCTGGGTGATGATTATATGGTGGTGGTGGATATATGATGGATGTTGCTTAGGTAATGGATGGATGAATGCTGGGTGGAATATGGATGGATGTGGCATGGATGGATGAATGTCACATGATAGATGGTGGACAGATGATGGAGATATGGATAGATGGATGATGGATGGAGAGAGGGATATATAGGTATTGGGTAAATGGATACATGATGGATCAATGGAGAGTAGATACATGAATGGGTGATAGACAATGGATGCTGGATACATGAGAGGGTGAGTCATGTGGGATAGACACTGGATGGTTAGATGGATACATGGATCTACTGATGCTGGATGTTAGATGGGTGTTGCATGGACAGATGATAGAATGGATGGATGAGGTGGACAGATGCATGCACCCTGGAGAATAAGTTAGGCTAAGCTGTGTTCTTTTTTTAATCTCCAGTTCCAACCAGAGGAGCCTGAGGAGTCAGAACCAAGCAGAGGCCAAGACCCCCTGACTGACCAGAAGCAGGCAGACTCGGTAGTTGGGTCATGGGCATGGGTACACATGGTGGGGAAGGGAAGGGGAAGCAGGTTGGAGATGGGCTTCATTCCTCAGAAGAGCCCTGGAATCATCCAGACCAAAGTTGGCTTTCCCATGGGGTCATCTGTGTGCATGGTGGGGCCTTGAGGAGCTCTGCAGGAGCCACCTTCTGGCTTGGGGACCTGGGTAGGTGGGTGGTCCTGGGGTCAGAACCCTAGGCCGTGCTTCTCATTTGCTGGGCCTGAAAAGGTCAATGTCTTTCCCTGGGCAAATGACGGTTTGGCCCCAGTGGTCTCTGAGGGAAGAGATCCTTCCGGTTTGAGACGGCAAAGCCAGGTCGAAAGAGCAGGGCTTCTAGGAGCATGAGTCAGAGAGCTGAGGATGTGCCCACAGTCAGCCGGGCCTGGAGGGTCTCCAGGGTCCTGGAGGCGGGAGAGATATATGCGGGGGTGGGACCCACAGATGCTGCTCTGAGGCCTGGCTGCAGCTGGTGAACACAGCTCTGCCTGCCCCTCCCCGTGACCTGCCAAACAGACTGTTCTCGTCACCCTCAGCCTCCAGAGAGGTGAGATCAGAGTTGAGGGCCATGGGGCAGCAGGAGGTGGGGGAGGAGGAGACAGACTGTTTGGGGCTGTGTTTTCTGGTCCTGCTCTTCCCCCTGCTGCCTCCTGAAGAGCCAGGTGTGGCAGGGAGTATCCGTCGGGCAGCCTGGAGCCCCCAAATTGGGCCCTGCCGTGAGTCAAAGCCGGGGGAATTTTGCCCAAACCCTCACTGTGCAGATGAGGAAATGGAGGCAGGGGAGTCGTCCCAGGCTACACAGTCAGTGGCTAGCTGTACTGGGACTAGAACCCAGCCCAGGAACCACCCAGCGCTCTCTCTGCACCTCCACCTGCCCCCACCCAGGCTGCCCCCGTCCCTGCCCTGATTTCTTGCGTGGCTTTGAACGGCAGTGCTGTAATTTTGAGGGGTTCAGTATTCCCATCTGTGGAATGGGAGGGGACAGGGGATGCTGGTCGCTAAAGGTGCTGCCAGCCCTCCCAGGGGCTCCGACAACTTTGCTCTTCCTCTTTCTGGGCTATTTCTTCATACTTCCTGGAGCCAGAGTAGTGAACGAGGAGCAATGCAGGGGTGCCCCTCTAGTCTCCATGAAACGGGCCTGGCACATCAACGTGGAAAATATCTCAACCTACCCCCCACCCCTAGGCAGCCTTGACTGGTCAGAACTGATAACCACCTCATTCATGCATCATTCACACGCACTCAGTGAGCACCTTCTGTATACCCGGGTGTGGGTCACAGGTGAGTTGGAGCACCATCAAGGAGTTCAGTCAAGTGAGACAGTTGCATGCCTGTGGTCAGGGCTGTGATGGGAGATGTGGTAGCAGAGTCGGGGGCACCCCCACCCCCAAAGCCCTCTTGGACCTGTGCTTTGATGCTTCAAGTTCCGCTTCCAGACAGTGTGCAGATTCCAGAGCAAGGACACTTGGGCTCTCTCCTACCTTCCCAGTAACCTGCTATGTGTGACTTTGACAAGTGCCTCTGCTTCACTGGGGCCTTGGTTTCCCCAACGAGGATGACTCCAAAGAGGGAGCATTTAGGGGCTCTGCTGGGCGTGTCTGTAGAAGTCCACAACTCATTCCTTTTGCTTAAGCTGGGGTCACAAACCTAACGCCCTGAAGGCCAGGCAGGTAACAACAGTGAGAAGTGGGGAGACCGAGGGCACTCGTGTGACTCCTCGGTTCCAGATAGCTGTTGCCATGGGGAAGACGGGCCCAGAGTTTCCACATCTTTCGATATTTCAAGAAACACTGGAGATATGTATTTATATGAGAGATCTCTAACCTAATGTGAAATACTCTGAAAAGGCTCTGTGGGTGGAAACACACCTGTGGTCTGTACCCCTCCAGCTGGCGCCCGTGGTTTGACTTTAGGGCAATGACGCGCACACCTTCAAGGGTGCTGAGCCCTGGGAGCCGCTCAGTCAAACACGACGTAGTGAGAACAAGTTAACCGGCTCTTGTCTCAGCAGTTCTGGGAGGAGAGAAAGATGGGAACCCTGGGGCTCCGTGGAGGGGGGCACCACAAAATGGGCAGGGGAGGCTGTAGCCAGGGGTGCCTCCATCCCACCAAAGGGACCTGGGGCCAACACTGGACCCTGTTTGACAGGCAGACAAGAGGCCAGCAGAGGGCAAGGCTGGGAGCCCGCTCAAGGGCCGACTGGTGACCTCATGGCGGATGCCCGGGGACCGGCCCACGCTGTTCAATCCGTTCCTGCTGTCTCTGGGGGTCCTCAGGTGGCAAAGGGTAGGCTGGCTCCAGTGGGGGCTGGAGGGGTGAGGGTGGACAGACATGGGGAGGGGAGGGAGGAGGGGGTTGTTAAGCAAAGGAGAGAGAGTGGGGGCTGAGGAGGAGGCAGTTGGGGCCCTCGCATGACAGGAGAGGTGGGAGCAGAGCTCTTAAAACTCACCCTGGTCTCAGCAAGCGAGTGGATTTTCCACTTCCGGGGCAGGCTTGGGGGCTGCTTTCAGCTTTTGGAGTGAGGGGTGATGGAATAATCTACACAGCTGAAAGCTTCCAGTCAGCAACCGCCTCTGGCCAGCCCTGGGCCAAGGGGGAGCCAGGTATGGGGGAAGGGAGAGCGGGCTTACAAGTGGCTCTGGGATTGCAAAGTGTGTCTCAGACCTGGGCCTGAGCCAGTTTCACAAACATCTGGCGTTACGTAACCCATCCCCTGCCCAGAGAGGTCTGGAAACACTCAAGCCTCTGGCTAGGTTTTCCA